GGGTTTAGTGTTTAGTGTTTAGGGTTTAGGGTTTAGTGTTTAGGGTTTAGGGTTTAGGGTTTAGGGTTTGGATACAGCACTTGAAGGAGTGCTGCCCCTGCCCACGCACCATCCCAAGATCCTGTACTCAACTTTAGGGTTTAGGGCTTAGGGTTTAGGGTTTAGGGTTTAGGGTTTAGGGTTTAGGGTTTAGGGTTTGGGGGTGGCGCACGGGCGTTTGGCGCAGTCGGTAGCGCGTGGGTCTCATAATCCCAAGGTCGCGAGTTCGAGCCTCGCAATGCCCATTTTTTTTTTTGTTTTTTTTGTTTTATTTATTTATTTATTTATTATTTATTTGTTTTTTTGTTTATTTATTTTACATGCTTTTAAAATTAATTTATTTTATTTTTATTTTATACAAAAAAAGATATTCGTAGCAACGCGGCTGCTGGCAGTGTAAACCACAAACCACCGCCGGGCTTCTTTGCCTTCTATTTATTTATTTAATATATTTTGTTTTTATTTTGTTTTATTTTGTTTTATTTTTAATTGTTATTTGTTTTATTTTGTTTTATTAAGCAGAGAAAACAGAAGAAATACGTATGCTGCTCTCCTAGAGCTGTAGCTCTCCTGTGGTTGCCTAGACACCGCACCATTGACGTGGGGTTTTATTGCGGCTCCAACATAAAAATTAAAAATATATTTAAATTTAAAATATATATATAAAATAAAAACCCTGAAATTATAATTTTATATATACCTCGATGATCCTCCTCCTCTAGGGTTTAGGGTTTAGGGTTTAGGGTTTAGGGTTTAGGGTTACGTGCTGCACGGTGTTCATTGTCACCTGAAAAGAAAGAAGAAGCCTAATTATATTGATTAATTTAGTAGATATGTATATTATTTTTAATAAATAAATGAAGAAAGCATTTAAATTAAATAATAAATGTAATACATTGAGCTGTTGTTTGTGCATAGTTCGGGTGTATATGCAGCTGCGACCGACGGTGCCGATGAGCGGCGGTAGCGGCGACGGCCCCCAAAACTGGGCTTTTTCTGCGGCTAAAAAAGCAGTTTTTCGCGTAAAATATATTAAAATAAAGTTATTTTCTCTATTATAAATTAAAAACCAAAAAAAAAATTAATTTTACCGCTGCTTTCCATGCACACGCACGGAGCGAGGTGACCACCGGCCCACACCGCGTAGAAGAACCTCTCCCTCCCCTTACTGGAGCCCTCAAGGAAACCTTCGTATTAATATTTTATGTATATATATATATAATTTTGTTTTCTTTTATAATATTTATTTATATTTTCTTTATTTTCTCTTATATTCCACCAAGCAATTGACCTGCTGCAGCTGTGGTGCTGCAGCACCGCCGTTCGTTTTCTCTCTCTTTGGGGCCCCTGCAAGCGCAACCCCAACTCAGTCCTTTCTTTGGCTTTTGTTTAATTTATATTAACTCCATATACACCCCAGCAGATGCTGCTGCTGCTAGCATAGCATAGATAGCGGCAGACACCGCCTAGGGACGCTACACACTAAACCTCAAACCCTAAACCCTAAACCCTAAACCCTAAACCCTAAACCCTAAGCTATAAAAGAGAACAGCAATAAGCGGAGCTTTCTCATGCTGTTTGTCGCCAGCAGCAACAACAGCAGCAGCAACAGCACTAACGAAAACAGCAGCAGCAACAACAGCAGCAGCAACAACACCAACGAAAACAGCAGCAGCAACAACAGCAGCAGCAGCAACAACAGCAGCAGCAGCAGCAAGCAATCCAAGCAGCAGCACAGATAACTCCAGGTGTACATACACCGCAAACTACAAAACTTTTATCTTTTTTTTTTATTACGCTGCTCTCAGCTCTGCTGCTGTGATGGGCGGTGTGGCGTTGTCTGAGCCTTGCTGCTGCAGCAGCAGCAGCATCAGCAGCTGCAGCAGCATCAGCAGCACCAGCAGCAGCAGCAGCACGGGGAGCAGCTGCTACAACTGCAGCATTGACAGCAGCACCAAAAGCAGCAGCAACGGCAGCAGCAACAGCAGCAGCAGCTGCGGCTCCTCTACATCTATGGCTGCGGCGCTATAGATGCACTCAACGCATGCAGCAGAG